TGGCGTACTTCAACCTACTACAATGCTACCTACGGACGGGATAACTCGGCGTCTCTTAGGACTGACTGTCAGGCTCAATGAATCCTACTTAATGTGGTCTTAATGACACTCTCACACATTTGAGACTTCAGTCGCCCGCATGAAAGTCTAGACCACGTCGTGACACGTATGGGCAAGTTGGTGGGCTTGTCAGCCACTGAGCCCGATTTCCCCGCCCTCGCTGGTTGACAGACTCAGTCAAAATTACGACCAACTTACTTCAAGTTGTTCAAGTTTCAGACTTTGGATAAAAACTTTCGGATTTTGAAAAATTATGAGCCTTCTTGTGGAATATATTACGTCAGATCGGGTTGGGGGATTTTAAACTTAAAGTTCCTATAACGGAGGTGCAGTTATGTTCACCTCATAAACATTTTCAGTCTTTCGGTCCGTCGATAAGAGCCCACGGTACCTGCTATGAGTGGGAATAAAACATAGCTTGTTTTTATGAAGACTATGGTAGGGCATGGGAGTAGGGACCCTTGTAAGACGGGAGGCTTCATGTCGAATTCCAGAAAGATTAAGTCTAAGCTTAGGACACAGGAAAAGATACTCTTCCTGGAATTTACGGCGAGTTCCTATTCCCTATCTTAGAAACACTTTCATTCACGTAATAATTTGCAGCATTAATTAAAAAAACCATAAATGTTTCAACTAATCAGTTTTTTCAAAGCGATCAAACAGACAACTAACAAATAGAAAAGCCAATTTTACCTTCGCAACAAATCGTCTTTGGTCATTCTGTCGTATTCGCCGGATATACCATCGAGAGGAGTTGTCACGCCGGACAGACTAGTAGTGGCCAAATGAACTGCAAATTGCGGGCGCATCGGCTTGTGGGTCTCGTCAAGCACCCGCTGACTTTCGCCAATGCGGTAAGTCTTGGCCGACAAGCTGCCATCTCTGACAGCCGACATTGCTGCATCGGGTTCCCCATCTGAACAGCATGATTCAAAATAATTCCCATAAATTGGCTTTTTAGAATGACTGAAGAAATAAGTGACCGATTATCCTATTAGAGTCTCACAACTGAATTAACAAAACGAACAGAAATAAATGAGACAGGGTGGGTGGACAAACAGATAACGGAAAACGAAGTTCGATATTTGCTAAGTCTTCAAAGATAATCCTTCGTTTTTATTGATAATCCTACGGTTAAAAAGTGTGAGTTAAAATGTACACAACCATCTTCTTGACCTTGCATACCGCTAAATTCTGTAGGTAAAATGACTTTTTTCAAACAGACACTGTCAATCTTCTATTACGAAGTGGATCCCGTTCGGCTGATCTCAGTTTTAGAGTAACATACACAGATGACATTAGGTGTTCTACTGCATAACATGGACGACAGAATCATCTGTTGGTCCTTGTTGGATCTGAAGGCTACCTGTAGAAAACCAAGCTTATCTTATAGTCACCCAAAGAAAAGTTCAGACGACTGCTATGTAAAATTGCTCTATCGGGAGTTTTCTCCTATAATATCTGTGATTTAGGTACCTTTAAATGTACCGGAAAATGATCGCTGGGACTAGAAATGTTTGGAAAATGTTTAAACGATCTAATTTAAGAAGAGCACTTGAAAAAAGGTAGAAAGATTCCGATAACTGTGAACATAACGGACAACAGAATGGATCGTGGGGGAGGAGCTGGCCTAACCCTTACGACTGCCCACAAGCAGGGTGTCCAGTCGCAATGTAGGAAGAGCGTCGTATTCAGCTGGGCGACGGTTCGGGAGGTTGGAGCTGTCCGAAAATACCAATGAGTCACTGGCTTCAGCAGTTTCAGGTGTAGCAGAGATCACCTGACACTTTTTGTCCGTCGCTAGTAAGATACAAGCAGGCTAAAAGGAAGCTATCTGGACTCCAGATTACTTTTAAGATTATCAATTCATTGAAATTTACAGATCTTTTGACATATGACTACAGTAGATTAGGTGGTGCGTTGATACCATTGATTAAAATTGTGAGGATATTTAAAATCTTTCGAACCAGTATTGATTTAGAGTCTGCCTTCAGAAGCGGGCAAGGATGTTTGAGAGCAAGCAGAACAGAAGGGCCAGGAAAGCGAAACCCGGAAAATATTCTGTCAGAAGTCTTTTGTATGGCTGCCGCCAAAAGTGAGTATTGCAAGAACGGAGCACGATGAGCCGCTATTTAACTTACATTCAGTGGGCGCTTTTGCTCTGTTGTCGAGCACTTGCAGTTTTGCTTCGTAGAGTTCGCGAAGTTTTTGGAGATCTTCCTGCAGTTTAGCGGAATTAGCAGCCTCGGCGGCATACAGTGCCTCCTTTTCACGTAACTTGCTTTCGTATTCCTTGAAAAAAAACGAAGGCGTTAGGGAAATTAACTAGGATGCAAAAGTCTCATAAAATATAAACAAGCGTTACCTACCTGAAAGATGAAAATATTTTAGGAACCTCGGTCAAGCTAAGGTGGCTGAGACTCACAGAAGTTTATAAAACACGATGCAGAAGACAGAACACTGCTCAGTCCCCTGCAAATATCACTCCGAAAATGTGAAAAAGGGAAGAAACACGTTTAATAATGTCACGATGCACTAAAACAGTGGCTTGGAATACCACAAACCAACGAGATAGCTTGTAAATCTTAGAACGGAAGGTAAGGCTACTATAACGCCTTTTTAGTGCGGCCTGTGTAGAACTCTCATTCACTTGTGATCTAAGTCGATCACTTCTTGCTTCTGTAAAAATCCGGTGAATTGTGCGTGGGTGAGATCGCGCGCAGCATGCGCAGACAGACTGCTTAACCTATTAAGCGGTCGTCCAGAGTTAATCTTTCCATAGAGCCCAGGATGATGGGGCAGAAGAGGGAGAGAGAGCAGCAGATGTTGCGCAAGCCTGCTATCATTACAGACCAATTCAGGGGCGAGTCAACGTCCCGTGCAAAGGTTCACCTGACCGCTAACGGGACTCATCTATCCCGCTGTCCTGGGTCTCGCCAGCGGCCCTGACAGCCATAGCAGCTAGTAGAATAGGCAGATAGTACTGCCGGCAAAGATAATGGAGACCGGAATGGTCATTTCTGGATTATTAGTCGTCGTCAACTAGTCATACCCAGACCCAAGTGGTGCTCCACTCGAGCCTCGAACTCGCGACCCCTTTGGTCAGAGTCAAACATCCTAACCATTGAGCCATGAGCCCAAGGGCTATTGAAATTCGTTGATGAACATTCACTTGACCGCTAACGGGACTCATCTGTCCCCCTCTGCCTCGGTTCTCGCCAGAGTGTCAATAGCTCCCGACCTAAACTGGCTAGATAATGAGCCCATGAAGAAATGGCAATTGAATGTAAACTACAGAAAACACATTCGATAATCGGGTTGTTGACAAGCTAGATTTCAGATTGAAAATTAGCAGGATATGAGGGAGGACCGTCTATCGTAGCTAGTCGATAAAACACTGCCTGCCCGAGTGTGACTCCAATCCGAATCGGCGCTGACCCCTTCGACCCATCTCTTCGACAAGGCAGGTTATGTAATTCTTAGCATATCTACAGCAATGCACTGAACTAAACTCGGTGGGCAGCTAGGGATCCAAATAATGAAAAAATTGACAAAAGATAGTTTTTACGAAGATAAACCCTGTGGTGCTTTGAGTAAATTAGTGAACGAAAAGTGGCTTTTAAACTACAGTTGCTCTCCAAAACACTTGCCAGTTTCAAGATCCTAGGTATTTGGCCATAAAACCAAAGGGACAATACGTTTTTACTAAAATTACCGTCTTCAGAGCCTCCTTTTCCCTATTGATAGCCTCCAAATCTTTGGCAAACGGATCGGCCGACTGGAGTCGTCCTCCAAGTTCGGGACCAGTCGGTGGGGTCATGACGGCCTTTCCCTCAAGCATGCTCTTTAACCGCGCTATCTCCTCCCTGTACTGACGCAAAAGGGCATCTTTGGGATCCTCGTTGATAACAGGCTTGTTCTTGATGTTCTTGGCTCGGTTGGCGTAACGTAATGTGCTGAGACTCTCCTCGTAGTTATTATCCGCTGGAGAGAGGCAGGCGATCATGAGAGTCTTTGTATTTCCTCCAAGCGAGTCCTGAAAACAAGGCCGCCATAACGTGCGTGAAATATGCAGAATACTTGCTAAAATAAGTGCTGTTTTTGTGGCGTAGGTGCTACTTTTCGTGGCCAAGAAAGCATTTTTAAATCTCATTCGCAACGTAGAGTACATTTAAAAAAACGAGAGAAGGGAAGAGTATACCTGCAGAAGACGTGTGAGCTTGCTGTCCCTGTAAGGTACGTGCTTGGTATTGGCGTCTACCAGAGCCGAGATAACGTTACCAAGGGCGGAGAGACTGAGGTTGATTTTGGTAGCCTCCTTCAGCCTATCACCCACGGCGCCAGTTTTGGACTGTCGTTCGGAGCCGGCCAAGTCGACAAGATTCAATTTTCCGGCACGAAGCATCTCCCTGCCCGTTTCGGCATCATTGCAGATCATTTCGAGATAAATGGAGAAGATTGAGTGGGACCGACTGCTGTCAGCATTCATTAGAGTCGCTCCTGTGGCACGGTTACGCCAGCCCTGATCCATTATAGCCTAAAGCAAAGAAAGACAGGCAAGAGACGTGATTGTTCCATTGGAATAAGCAAACTACTAGCCTTGGCTCATAGAAGGTGCAGAGCTCACACTTTTTTTGAAAAAAAAACACAAAACAATTGGTGAGAAGTTGGGC